GCATGGAACTTTCCATTTGTGGCATTATATAAATGCTCAGTAGTTTCAAACTTCGGAGCATTTCACATTTTCAGATTAGGGATGCTTAGGCCAGAATCACTTCACCCACACTGATTGTCATTCATAGCCCACAGTCCTGTGCACAAGAACCGGCTGTGCAAGTAATCTTGCATTTTCATTTCTTGTCTGAAGTCATAAACCAGAGCTGTGTCATGTTTGGAAATATGGCCCTCTTGGGTTTTTATGGCTCTGTGATACTCACAGTTTGGGCTTATTTTCCTTGTTTCCTGGAACTGGTTATTTTTGCATCTTCCACTCCATCAGTGCAGACAGCTTTATGAACACACTGCCTCTCTGGCTGCAGATATAAGTCATTCCAAATATAAGAGGCAGAATGTGTCCTCCAACAATTGATAACTGTCACCCATCAGGTAGATGCAAAGCATGTTATTCAGCAAGGTGCAAGCCAGGTAAAGGAAGCATTTTTATCCCTGGATCTTCCCAAGTAAAGAAACTGAATTGCACAAAAATGATCTACTTTTCCCAGCTGGTTCATAGCAAGGAATCTGGGTTTCCGAACTCCCAGTTCTGTGTTCTTTTCCATGAGCTCTCAATACCAGAGCTATGCCATGGGCATCAGAGCAGCAACTGGCACTCAGACAACCCCTTCTTTTCCTTCTCCTGCCCTGCTAAGAGTGTCCCTTGCTAGCTCTTAGTGCCAGGCTGGGAAGCATTAGGGTAGGTGGATTTTCAGAGGTGTAGCAAAAGCCCCATTGTAACTCTGCAAATGCATACAGAACTTTGCAGTTGACAGAGCATGTGCATGTCATGTCTGACCTTCAAAACAACCTGTGAGGGCAGCAGGGAATCTATTATGTTGTTTACTTCAAAATCCATGAAGGATACATTTGTTGAACTCCTGTGGCATATCAAGCACTGTACAAGGGGTTTTTATTCTCAGATCCTTCACTAACCTATATGGGGACTTTATAAAATTAGAAAAAGGTGTCTTGTGGGGTGACACAGCCCTACACCAGGACAGGCTGTGGGCTAGATTCCAGCCCTCTCATCCCCACACCTGACATGGAGACTGCATGGACATTAACCTGTTTACTTCTCCTAATAGACCTGTGTGCTAGGTAATGCTGTCCTTCTACAGATGAGAAACCTGAGCTCAGGAAAGCTAAAGGTCTTGGGCAGAGAGGTGGAGCTTCTTGGTCTCGGGGCTGGGATGACTGTCCAGCCCTTCTGAGTGCCCAACCATGGCTAATTTCACCAGGGTGCTCGACATGGCCTCAGAATGAGGCTCCTGCAGCAAATGTCCAAACCTTCTGCCCGGGGGCCATGGGTGTTCTCACACTGCTTGTGATGGGGCAGCCTCTTCAGAAAGGAACCCTGTTACGGGATGTTTCTCACACTCAAGGTGCATAGATCATGCTTTGATAAACAGAACCTTAGTGTAGGAGAAGCTAGACACTGAATTCCACCTTTATCCATGACCCTAAAGACATGAAGAGAAGGAAAAAGAATGTTGATTGAGCACCTCTTGAACACTGGGCTCAGTTGCTGCTAGTTGGTAAAACAAGACAGGAAATAATCACATTCAAGGTGGTGTAATTAATAAATCATATCTAGCACTGCACACAAAATCAGCATGATGTCAAGACAAATTGAGTGGCTTGAATTGACTCTGTAGGAAATTCTGTGACAAAGAGAAGCTTGGGACCATGAGGTCCTAAAGCTGCCTTGAGAGGGATGGCCTTCCTGAAGGGCACGTTTGGTAACAACGGCGGTGACAGCAATAAGAATTATAGTTAGCATCTACTGCATAGCTGAATGCCAGGCACAACGCCACCCAGTTTGTGTCTTTTACTTAATTGTTCTAAGTATGATGTCCATGTTCTTCCCATACTACAGACTGAAAAACTGAACATCAAAGCAATTTGCTGAAGTTAAGAGCTAAATGAGTGTGTGGCTTTTAGTTTAGATTTCTAGCCCAGCAAATTTTGGGACCGATCTTGTGCTTCTTATCACTGTCACTTGTAGCACTTTCTCAAACTGTGGTTTCAACCAAAGTCAGAGTAATCTAGGAGCTAATCTGCAAGGCAGGGCCACTGTAGCCCCAGTGGACCTGAATTCTGAAGATGAGGCTCAGGGACTTGCCTCTCCCAGCCTCCCAAATGAGGCAGATGAAATAAGGCTTTTACAAATTTAGATTCTCAAAAGAAAACATAAAAAGTGAGTGCCATTCAATCCAGCATCTCCCTTTGTCATCCTTACTAGGAAAACAGCAGTGTTGTATGAAACAAAAATGAGTATTCAGTATATATATATAATTTTTTTTAATAAAGGCACAAAGTACATACCAGGTAAATAAAAAATCAGCAAGAAGGAGACAAAAGGAATCTCCCACCTTGAATCAACTCTGTAGGAAAAGCTAAACATTTGATTAAGTAGTCATTGCTTGAGACAATAATTCAGCATCCTTTATACTTGGCTAAAATGTCTTAATGTATTCCAAAATGAATAAAATAGAAAAATCTACCCATGAAATAAAAGGCATCATTCACAAAATGCTCTATGAAAAATGACTGTTAAAAATATAAACTTCAACTGGAATTTGCTGTTAGACAAATTGGTTTTAAAAACACATTTAATTACACATTTTAAATTTCAGCCAAAGAACCATTAAGTAAATTAATTTTAGGCAAATTGGTTTTCAGTAAACTGATTGGGCAAGTTGACCTTTTACATTTTTACATGTTGGGGACATAGAAATAGAACCTGGTGGCCCTCCTGGGGACCTCTCAGGTGGACGTGGGTCCCGGTGGATGGAGCTGGCCCATCCTGGCTGCCATGCACTGGGCTGTCCCAGTCTCAGCAGCATCCTACACCATGGTCAGTGGTGCTCAGCAACTTCTGAAGAAAAAAACAAGAAGAACCTGGAACATACTTAGCATGACACAGGTTAAACATCCCTAATCTGAAAATGCAGACAACAAAATGCTCCAAACTTGAAAATATTTTGATTGTCAGCATGATGCCACAAGGGACACTTTCTGATGACTCAGTGTGCCATGTGTAAAGTTATTAAAAAACATTGTCTAAAATTATCTTTGGGGTAAATGTAGAAGGTGTATATGACATGTAAATTCTTTCATATTTAGACTTGAGTCTTATCCCCCAAACTGTCTCATTATGTCTGCACAGATATTCCAAAATCCAGAGAAATCTGGAATCTGAAACACTTGCGGTCCTAGGCCTTTTGAATAAGGGACACTCAGCACCTAGTGGAGAGGAGAGTGATACAAGGATTGGTGGAGGTTTTCCGGGGAGGGTCTCAATGAGCCAGATTGCGAAGGGAAAGTAGGAACAGATCAAAAAGATAAAACAGAAGGATATTCCAACCCAAGGGAAAGTAATACCCAGGCTGCAGGTGTGGAATAGCAGTCAGGAGGGAAGGCGCATGTGTGGGGTTAGGGTGCAAAGGGGCAGCCTGGCCCAGAGGGGGAGGGGAGCCTGGATGTCCCCTCCAGTCTCACTGGATGGGGAAGAAGCAAAGCAGCTCTCATGGTGAATGTGAAGGAGCACAAAGGCCACCCGCTGAAGGAGGAGACCGAATTTGTGGGGTAGCAGATCAGTAAAATCCACAGAAGCAAATGGGAGAAACTGCCAGGGAGCTTTCCAGATACCATGGGAAGGAAAAGGGTTGTTTCTAACTGTAGGAAGAGAGCGAAATAGGGGCCTGAAGAGATGAGGCTAGTGGCAGATGGCCTGTAGAAGGCCTCAAGGAACTGTCCAGAACCCATCCAAACTCCATGGGTGGGTTTCAAACTGAGTGGCGACATGGTCAGATTCGTGCTCATTTGGAGGGGCTGTGGAGTTAGATGGCAGGAAAGCCACACACAAAGCAGAGAGACAGCTGGAGAAAAGCTATTTCTGTATTTGAAGACCTCTGAGATGATGTGTCAGAATGATGTAGTGTTCCCCCCATGTGAGATAGGTGTGATGTCAAGACGCCCTGCACCTCCCTTCTCATGCCCCTCATCTCCAAGACAAACGTGAGGGGACAGAGCTCAACGGCCCCTCCCCACTGCCAGATGCTTTCCAGGAATGTGGGGTGGATGGGACTCTAAGGTCTGACCCTGACCCCCGTCAGTGTGGACCATCTCTGGGAAGCTTCTGGGACACTGGCATGGAACCCAGAGGTTGGCTTTGCACCAGAATCTATCCAGGGCCAACATGGCAGTACAAGGGATGTGCTCTGATGGCTCAGGGTGCACGCTCTTGTTTCATGCACACAGTTATTGAAAATATTGCATAAAAATGATCTGCAGTCTGCATGTATATGGTATAGAGGGTGTTCATGCCCTAGCATGTCCCCAGGGAGCCTCCTAGCAGTGTAGTCCGCCTGGATGGATGATGCCACATGAGCCAGGCTCTGCAACAACTCATCCTCACACGGCACGCTCCCAAGGAGGGGTGGTCTCCCCCAGGGACAGATGAGGGAATCCAGGTTGGCAGCATTCGAGTCACTTGTGAAGGATACACTGTTCGTGGATGTGATCCTAGCTAGGGCTGGCTTCTGTCCCGGAATGTCAGCTGAAAAGAGGCATTGCTTTAAAGTTGCAGACATCATGGCAGAGCCTAGAGAACTCATCTTTGACAGCCCGTGGGTTTTCAGGAGCAGAAGAGTCATCATACATCCTCTTCTTGCTGCTTTCCTGTCTGGGCTGCTCAGGAGCCTCCGGGCTGATGTGACCTAAGACAGACACTGCTGACACTGGGGTTCCTGGGTCCAATCAGGCCAGCGCACTGCAAGCAGGAAACAAGCTGGTGATGCTTGCTGAGTAGCACTTACCCTGCCGGGGCCTCTCTGGATGCATTGTATCCCAGGGGCCACCTCAAAGGCCACACTCCCAAGGTGGGCACATGGGGTGTTCTGGGTGTCTTCTGATACCCCCCAACTCACATCTGCCTCTCACCTCCTTCTGACACAGATCCTGGCGCCCCTGTGAAATTGCCTTGTCTGCCAGTGAAACTCTCGCCTCCGCTACCTCCAAAGAAAGTCATGATCTGCATGCCCGTAGGGGGACCAGAGCTTTCCCTGGCATCCTACGCAGCCCAAAAGAGTGGCCAGCAGGGCGTGGCCCAGCACCATCACACCGTCCTGCCATCCCAGATCCAGCACCAGCTGCAGTATGGCAGCCACGGCCAGCACCTGCCCTCCTCCACCGGCACCCTCCCCATGCACCCGTCCGGCTGCAGGATGATAGACGAACTGAACAAGACGCTGGCCATGACCATGCAGAGGCTGGAAAGGTAATGAGGGGTGGGGAAGGGAGGAAGGAGCGGGATTGGCTGGAGATAGACTAGGGGTTGAGACAGTGAATAAGCCTTCATTCCCACACAGCAAAGAAAGAAAAAGCTTGAAAGTAAAATGAGACCAAAAACGAAATGTCAAGGAAAGTCTGGAAGAAAAAAAAATGATATTGCCCATTGTCAAACTGTAATCACATTTATCACAAAGAAATAGTAACACCCACAGACACACACACACACACACACACACACTCACACTCATCATGTTTCTCTAAACATTAACGTTGTATGAAAGGATGTCCCTGTAATTAATAGAGATCACCATGGGGTGGAGAAATGGGAGGAAAATATGTTTGTATTTCCTACTGTACTGCTTACTTTTAATTTTGTTGTATTATTACTTTTGTGATATTCACGAGACAAGCTAAGTGCTCACTCTGGCAGCACATATATTAACACTGGAACAATACAAAGAAGATTAGCATGGCCCCTGCGCAAGGCTGATATGCAAATGCGTGAAGCATTCCATATTTTTTTTTAAAAAAAAGACAATTTAAATGTCACCTCAGGAAGAAGAGAGCCTGCAAGGGGCTGCAGGAGGTGGAGGGCCATACTGTTGTTCTTACTGGTGGAGGAAGCAAGGGTTACAGCTAGATCAGGTAACCTGAGCCTTGAAGATGCGGCAGCCCCTGGGCAGCCCCCCTCTCATCTGACTCTGCCTCCAGAAGTGTTTTCCCCTACACAAGGGACACCCGCTGGCAGGCCTGTGGGAAACCCTCACTATCCCAGGCAGGGAGAGCCCTCATCTCTTAGTGCTGGCTCACAGTCACTCTTGTGTATGCACATGGGTGTGTCCGAATTCCACCACCACCAACCACCCTGCTTCCTGCCCAAGAAATACCTGGGATTGACCAGCACAAGAGTGTCCACCTGGAACTGGGACCTAAATGTGTGTCACAGGGCACTGACTGCTGTTCCCTGTGTCCAGTGGGTGGGAGGATTACAGTCCGGGAGGCCCAGTAGATCAGCAAGGCAGAGAGCTAAGACAAGATGCACACAGGCTGGAGCCCTGAGGCGCGGCTCCCTCCCCTCTTGTGTTTGGGAAGCAAGTACCTTAGAAGGGAAGCTGCCATTTCTAGGAGTTCTGACTTGATGAATTTGTATTTTAATTCTGATCCTCCCTGAGAAAGAAAAGGCAATTTAATTCAGCCCCTCGCTGTTGTTTTCAACTGCCACCGTGAGTGAGAGCAGCAATAATTTAAAGCTTAGGCGGTGCCTTTGAGTCTGTTACACATACACACCACCATCACAATCAGCACCATCATCCTGTCTCACCCTCACACCTCCGAGGGAGGCTGACTACACGGAGGAAGTAAGGTTGAGTGAGTTCCCCACACGCGCTTCCCAAAGGATGGTCCACACGGTGCTTGCACCCATGTGCAGCCACGTAGGTGCAGAAATTAAGAGCATACTTTTGGATGCTTGTATAGCAATTTGGCAAAATAATTTTATCTGTTGGCTCTTGTGATTAAAGAGGGCTTCATTTTTGAACATCTTTAATTATATTTTACAAAAGCATCAGTTTGTGATAGATTGAAAATTAGAAGAAATGAACAGCAAGAACTATCCTTCCTGTCTAAATATTTAAAAACATTTTCCTGGTTTGTGAGCTGAGGGGCTGAGCCTTCAAGCCTTAGTCTTTCTACCCAAATTCAGTACTCTTTCCTGTAGCATAGCTCCTTCCTAGATAACTGGCCATCAACATCATTTCCAACCACATGGTCACTCGACACTGGGTTAGTCATCTGGGCTTCAATCACCTGAAGAAGACACTCATGACAACCTATTACTAGGACATTTCCACTTAAAACATGCCATTCCATAATATCCATGGGTATCTGTGGAGCGTTTCTTTGCAGTTCAGACCAATGAGTGGGTTTGTTGGACCCATACTGGGCAGGGCTCTTTACCATGTCCTAAGGGCTTCTCTCACCCTTTTATATCTTGTGTACGTTCCCTGGAGGTTTTGCTAAAATTGTTCTGTTGCATGAAGATGTTTTTAATCATTGCCCTCACTAAGTCTGCTTGGTGACACTAAAACGTGGCATGTACCCATTTCCAGCTTTGGCTCACCCAATGTGAGGGGCGACCAGGTGAAACAAACTGAACGGGTCTGTGTTATCCAGTCTCAGGGCTGCTGTAGCCAGGAGAGCTGAGCTGCAGACAGCCCCCACCACAAGACCAAGTGTGTGGGTTCCAGAACCAAACGCCAGGATTTGGATCTCACACATGACTTATTAGTAAAGCATGTCGCTTAACCTCTGTGGGCCTTTCATTCCTCTTCTGTAAAACAAGGGTGATAATAATACTCCCAGTCTGATTTGGGTTATTTGTGAGGATTAAATGATTTAATCAATCCAAGTCAGCCGGGTCATTGTGTGGCACATTGTAAATACCCAATAATGGCAGTGAGCATTAAGCAAAATTATATAGCACATTAAACTTGTCCTCAGTGCCCGTAACAGGAACATTGCAAATGGACTCCGTCCAATCTTGTTAGAGGTTTTGTTTGTTTGTGCCGAATTCCTCAAATGAGATTGTCTTTGTTTCTCCCCATCCGTGTGACTCATGTCCTTTTGGAATGTTTCCTCATTTCAAACAAATATTATACAACTTCTTACTTATAATATCTGCAGTAAGCTGTTGATCTAGTTGGCCTCCATTCTGGAATCCAGACTTGAAATTCTGATCAGCTGCTGATTTTCTTTCTGATGTTAACACAGTCCTGATTTCTCTATGCTCTTGTTTCCTTGTAGCAAAATGAAGGGCGATATGGGGCCTTCTTGACCCCACAGGAATTTTAGGAACGTTCTCAGGGAAGTCCTTCCCTTCTGAATACTTCCAGTTGTTCACAGCAGACACCTAGGCTCACCCCTGACACCTTTCTTTTGCTTGTACCCCATGTCTGATCGTCAACAAATCTGATCCAGTCTACAGCGAGAAGATCCCTGGATTGGCCACTACTCCTATGCTCCTCCATCCTGCTGCCCCTTAGCCTCCACCTCCATCATCCTCCCCTGCCTTGCTACCTCTCCTCCTGCCCTCCCTTCTGCCCCTTCAGACCATCCCCAGCACCATGGTCCATGAGATCATGTGCCAGGAAAGCCAGTCCATGACCGAATTCATTTACAGGGGCTGCCATAGCAAGAGACCATACCCTGCGTGATTAAACAGAAATCTATTTTCTTACAGCTCCAGAGCTGATGTTCAAGATCAAGGTGCTAGCATGTGTCAAGGGCCTCCTTGCTACATCTAACGTGGTAGAAGCTGGGAGGGGAAGAGGGTGAGGGCAAAAAGTGGGGCCAAACTTGCTTTTAGAACAAACTCACTCTTGTGGTATGAGCCCACTCCTCCCATGATAATGACAGTAATTTGTTAATTCCCCCCTTAAAACCCCCACATCTCAACACTGTGGCAATGGTGGTTAAATTTCTAACATGTGAATTTGGGAGTACACAGTGAAAGCACAGCACTTAGTAACTGGAAGACCCATTAGTAGTTCTTAACTGAATACCTTTTTGGAAGCGGATTTTACATCTGGAGCTGGGAATAGCAGTGAACTCAGTACAGAAGTGGCCGCCCTCAGTGGAGCTCAGAGTGTCCCGGGACGTGGACTGAGCAGGTCATACTGGGAGGGTGTGGGGTGGGGACAGAGTGTGCAACAGGGCTGTCAACTGGTCTGTGAGACTCAGGGTGGTCTTCTCTAGAGAGCTACAAAGAAACTGAGAACTAGAAGATGAGAGGCCAGATGAAACGGGAAAGAAGTATGGGAGAATATTTGCATCAGATGAGAAGGAGTGATCTTCTGTCTCCAAAGGGTGGATGAGATTTTCATTCAGAAGACAGAGAAAGTTGGCAGTTGTTCCCCAGGGTGTTAGAAGACTGTTCATAGAGAATGAGAATAGTGATAGAAAATTATAATCAGACATATGGAAGATCATTAAGCCACTAGAGAAGACACTGGAGATCTTCAAAAGATGTCAGGCCAGCAGCTATCCCAGAGGGTTTACTTGTTTACTTGCATAAAGGAAAACCTTACAGGTCAGTTCATTTGCTAAGGACCTGTCCATCTCTATAATGCTCTATTAGATGTATTCCAGGAGGTTGTTAACTCTGATGTGGAAAGTTTTAGAAACAGAATGGCTATACCTCTGCTGGGAAGTACACTTAATAAGGCATATATCTATGTGATCACAGATAGGCCAGAACCACAATGGTTCCACCAGAGCCTGGAAAGTTCCAGAATGTTCTTGACCTTTCAGCAGCACCTACTGAGCGCTGCATACCAAGCATTGTGACACACACACAATAGTACACAGTCTTTTCTTTAAAATAATATTAGTAAGTATAGGTTATATAAATAGTTTCTGGTCTTCTTATATTGTCCCTTTTTATAGTTAACATATTAGCTAGGGATGAAATCATTACTTCTCAAGAATATTAAAAAAGGAATCATTTTTTCATTGGACAAAAGAATTTGAAGCTGGTAGCCCCCAAAATTCCTTCCATTTCTAAAATTCTATTATCCCATAATTATTTTTAAACCTTTCAAAGAGCACAATAGAATTTATAATCCAAATATAAATCTGTGTCATGGTGACAATTGCTTTTTTTCATGTTTCCTCAAGAGTCTCAGAAAATACTAAAAAATGATACTTGATCCTGAACTTGGTAATTCCCAGGGTTTCTTTGAACCTTAACAGTCTGATGTATTTATTGCACTGGTTAATGTTTGTAACATTAACCTGCAAACCACAGAGCTCCATGATAAAAAGCAGATGTGAATCACTGCCCTGTCTGAAGTTCTAGGTGTTACTTGCTTGTGAACTGGCACTGATTTGAAGTTCAGTGTTTTATTCATTGTAGAGTAAATGCTGTGCCTCTTCAAAATCTCTTGCAGTTCTAGTTAGACACTTGGCCTTGGAAGTCGGAGTTACCAA